GCTATCGGGGGTCCATTGTACTTACTGTACAGTAAATATAGACCTTGCCATTGGTATACCGTCTCATCCACAACATCACCATGTTGTGAATGAGATTGTATACAGGGAAAAGCTTCTCTACAAAATTTGAGATTACAAAAAAAATGTTGTTCGAAGAGCGAATGCTGCAGTATCTCCTTCTGGGGTGTCGAGGTCAATGGAAATGTTAGTTCTTGTTGTCGTGGCTCTCTGACGGTACCGTACAGTACTGGAGAAAAACCGAGAGAATCACATTACCACGGCACGTACCGTACACAGCAATGCAGCTGACGGCAGCTGTACGAGCCACTGTGTGTCCTGGGGACCGTGTACAAAACGCAGAGGTTATGCCACAATGATGGATACGGACTAATTGTGCATGTTGTTCGTTTCTCGCAAGTGCGTTGTCTATCTTTACATACCGTTGTGCCTATGTAGAAGACTGCACTGGAAAGAAATCTCATGCTTCATTTCTTCGCGGTTTGCTGATAAACTTTAGGGCGAGACTTTTTCGAAGTCTTCCGCACACCCCAATGGATTTCACCCTAAACTTTATTGCTTCTGGGAAAGAACAACGCTTAATTTTCTTGTTTTGTCACTAGATAGGAGGAGTCACTTGTTACTGTATCCTTGTGACGGGTCAGCAATATGGACTGCGCGGAATGCAGTCCATAGATGTCGCTTGTACTGCACAAGTAGTTAATGAATACATTTTGGAAGGCATTTGCAACCTATTGGCGCTGCCAGGCATCAACATTGCTGTACTGATATACTGTACCCTTGAAGGGTACACCATCATGATATCTTCTGCGGATTCCGGTAGGAGGCGGTTTACCCATGGGACTGTAAATTGCTCCCTAATAAATGATCAATAACAAACGCATCGATATTTCTTCGTCTGCGAAAGGTAGGTACTCTACCTTCACACTGGCCTCTGTACTCTGTACCACAGTGGATACACAACGATACTCATAGCATTATTATGAGTTCCATCATTGCGCTTGGCCTTGTCACGCGACCCGCCTCACAGGAACAGGCCTCAGTGAAATCGTGACGTCTCGCCACTGGAGTAGGCGCCCTGTTTCAGCGCCTTCTCAATAACTGCACACTACACGAATTCCCCTGACGTGGCCTCCTCTGGGAGAGTACTTCCCCGGCTTTACAAGATGTGAATCCCTACCTCGATATCGAGAGCATTTATTCAGGGTGTTACTGTAAACAGTAGTTTCAGGCTTATTTTTAGGAACTTCTGCTCGCTTCGCTTTCAATTTAGAATTCATGGTAGTCTGCACAACGCCATCTCGACGTCCTTATGTTTTTCAGACTTTCGAATGGGATGATTGGAAACCGAACTGCACTCCTATGCCATTCGTCACTCGCGTCTTTTCCCAAAATGTGCACCTCGAGAAATCTCAGTACCTTGGTAACTTATTCCTTGATGTTGTGAAAATGAGAAGCGATACGCACCAGAGCGCCCTGGCGGCTCTTCTATATCGAGAAACTCTTCCTTCATTCGAATAAATACACACTCCGCCCCAGCGTTTCTCCAGAGTAATTTACCTTCACCCTTTCATAGATATCAATTGAATAATGGATTGCCTTTTAGAACAATTAATTGCGCTTGCTCTCACTTCACACGTAACATATTGTTCACCGTCGGAGTGTCAACCCTAGCCAGCGTTTCATGTTTTCCACTGAAGAAGAAATGGTGAAGGGAGGGGGGAGACTCTGCATATTTATACGTATCAGCCGTTTCAAATTAACCACCTCGAAGTGGACAGAAGCTATAGTTACTACCGAGCATATTCGCAACAGAATTGTGAATCCATCAAACCAGCCCGAGAAATAGTCCGCCTCTTCAATGTGCGTTTATCTATTTCTGGAAAGTGCTCTTGAACGTTACTTTCCCAACCTGCATGTCACGTCTTTTAAGATAGTTAATCATCATAAAAGTATATTCTGTGAAGCAGTTGCAATGCGAGCGAGAGGAATCGTGATATCCAAAATTGAAATATCGTGTTTCTGTACGTTTTCGTGGCAGTTTATCACGCTTTCGACGTTTCAAACATGGATTACAGTCAAGTATCGCTAGAACGCACATAATAGCCTGTTTCTCATTCCATCAGAATACCGCTTCATTTCCCTATAACCTTTGGACGGCACACCGAGGATACAGTAAAATATAGAATACAGAATATATTGCGACGGTAGACCAGGCATATTGTACGTTATCTCTATATTTTGCCCTCATGTCACTATGGACATGTGACTTGCAAATATGTCCTCGGAGCAACAAATCATCTCCAGGATGAGCGGACCCGCAACAATATTAGCATGCCGCCGATGGAATACTTTCACGATTTGGGATGCTAAATTATTTACTGAAGTGAACAATTTAGAAAGTGTATTGTGTTGCTGCCGACTTCTAGTGTCTAGACAACAAGTGACCTCATATGAGGCCACATTTCAACTTATCTTTTTTCGACCAGTGCTTGCTCGACAAGAAGGAAAAGATACTCACGCCACTGCGGATGACTTCTGCGTGGCAGAAGGGTTGAGGTTGGTGAGATCTGCACGTCTTTTCCAGCCATTTTTAGAATATCTAAAACAGACGCTTTTTCGACAAACCTCAAAACGTTATGTGTTGATATCTTCGAAACCAAAAGGCATGTTAAAAATGTTAACGGAGCAATGAAGCTTCATTGGATTCTTAATCTTTCTGTGTATTTACAACAGATATCCCAATGTTTAGCAACATGTTATTACTGAGGGCATATTCGTTAGAGAAATAGTGCGCAAACTGACTTTTGTAAAGTTTCGATTTAATGTATATCTTTTTACAAAAAAAGTCGGCCTCATATGACGGCATGCCTGACGTCATGTGAGGTAAATAGCATGTCGCTTAGTATCTATCCGACCAGCGTTATCAAAACATAAAAAGCTGCGAATTTTAGTTTCAATTATTCTGTGATGGACTGACTCGTTTTAAAATGGTTGTGAAGGTAAAACCGAGTAGAAAGCACTCTAAGGAATGTCTCCATGCTGCTGATATAGAACTTGCTTTAAGAGAATTGCAAACTGTTAGCCAACGTTTTTTTGAAAAGCTTTATGTGCGTCAACGGATTTGTACTTGCTAGGATTTGCTGAGCATGTGCTTTACCTGTGATGGTAGACTTCTAGATGCAAGACTCGAATAAGCGTGGTTTGAGCTGTCTAGAAACCATGTAATAAGAATTGTCTTCAAATGAGGAGTACTGGTCTGATGAACACTAGTTTAGCGGTGTGCAGGGTTAATAAAATGTGGTTTTTGCAAAGGAATTCTTAAGTGGGACACACTTGGGGTTGCATGTTGGGTTTCTCCAAGGGTTAGTGAGTGGTAATATCAGCCCCCATTCGCTTTCCCCGTCCGAATTCCGCGCCTTTTATAGATAGCGTAACTGAACCTTAGAGTAATACAGTAGTACATGCTAGACTAAAATTAAATATCCCTTCAGTCTATAACTAATCTTCATACAAGCGCTTACGTCCTATCTTTCAATCCTCTCGACTATCCTCTTTAGTACTACTCGATACTGTATTCCCCCTTGACAAGTCTTTCAGGAATGACATAGAAACTATAGTGTAGTTCTGTGTCATCCTTTGAGGAATAGAGCATTCAGTCTATTCGGGAAGGATACTCACAGTATATTTATACAGAGTATAGTTAGAAAGATATTAATACTGTGCTTGTACTTCAACCGTCACAACTAGACACTAGTATAGTGAAATATTTTCAATTGGAGAAAATTCGCAAAGACGCGGACACTGTCTAAAACCCCAAACTGTTGTGTGGAAAAACACGCGCATACGGTTTGGTCATCGTGAGGAAGCAAAGATTCCAAAATAACGACCTTTTTTATCTGAGAGTTGACATTGATATACCACAGATTAGTTGGACATATGCCAAAACCCGACATTGCAGAATCTAAAAAAGACCACAATTTACTCCCCCAACATCCACCTAATCGTATGGTTAAAGCATCACCCCGAACATGAATCGATCCATTAAATTTACATTATATTTCCAACACGGTAGATAATTTAAACTACAATGATGAGTTCCCATTATTCGAAGTATGTTTTCTGTATTAGGCCTGGTCTTGCCGTAAGTATTGAAGCGAACGCAAACTCGGTATGACGCAGTTTGACTCCAATATCAAACCAAGTCTCCTGTATTGATCAAGATGAGTCAAAATGTAGAGGATAAAACATTATCCGCATACAGATTTAGATCTTTCAAGGTGACGAGAATCAAACCAACATTTTTGCACGTTAGCATCAGCTTTTGACGGCTGCCAATGCTCATAAGGGGTGTTTCTAGCGCCCAACGGCCACAACCCTGCACACTTCAATCCAGATTTGATATTTTGTGCCTTGAATGTATCTTGGAAGGCCTCATAACTCATTTTCATATGTTAAAGACATATCAGGGTTTGTCTGGGCCCAATACGACGTTCTTGAAAAGGTTGCTTAGCTGAAGCTTGAACGGGCCAAACACGATACCGTCTAAGGGTTGTGTCTTTCCTGAGGTATGCGCAGGTAGTGCATACGCAAATATATATTTATCACGAAGCAATATCAGCACGCATCTATCGCAGTACGCCTATAAACGTCATAAAAATATCACCATTGGGCCGTCCGTCGTAAGATCCTTCACGTTTACCATAAATAAACATGCCTAGTAGAAGAAATTCGTTGAGTAAACCACCCCTAGCTTTGATCGCAACGCAACAACGGAATGACGATGCAATTTGCTTGCAGAAGTCTCTGTTTCCCTCACACCGTTTCTCAGAGCATGCCAAAACGGCATTCATTTCCATGCTCAGTACAATAAGACATGGTGTGGTACCGCCCATCTTCCGGTGTAGATCGGGGTACAGACCCCTGCCCGTCGACCCCAGTCTCTCCTGGGAGACCAGTCCCGTCGAGGGACAACGCAGTGTGAACTGCAACAGCGTAGACCGGGGGCGCTGTGGTAGAGGAGGTAGAGATAGAAAGAGGAATAGAATAGGAATAGTCGTAAGGATAGCGAACCGATAGAAACATTGAAGGAATTAGGAAACGCGAACGAGGTTGGTAACATACACCCAAGATCGGACGGGACCAAACTAAGGAAGGCAACCTGGCGAGGAGGCGTACCAGAGGCTAATCGTGGTAGCTCCAGAGGTCCAAGGCTTCCGGGTAATGCTTACTTTACGAGGGGGAAGCTGGCACCGGCTGGTGGGGTAAAGAACCGCCGGTGACACTGTACTATAATTACTGTATGACTAATGTAAGGAGGGCTTACAGCCTCCACTCTAACATTGGATCAGTAAAACGGTTGGATCCAGAATCAGATCCACGACTGCCACCTGCACACATGTGACACCCCGACACGATTCCATATCCATTGTACCACACGTCCCCCTTCCAAGATGTGAGTGCCCCGTGAAGCTTGACGCTCGCCCTTGAATACATTCGAAGGGTGTTGTGAAGGAGATCGTCATCCACCTCCCCCGACAACATTCTCCATGACCTACGGTGATGTGGAGAATGATCGCGGATCTGGGCGAGACAACCTGGTTACGCGCGGTTCCGCTTCCCCCAACTCCTCGTACGAGGAGTTCAGTCGACGCGACCTCGGAGGTGGGGAGTCGGGAGTCGGGGAGTCCCCGACGCGGTCCGTCGGAGGTGGGACTGGGCCATAAGGATGGATCCGGACTCTCGGTTCTTGCCGCGCTCAACCGGAGCAGCACACCGGTTCCGCAACGCCGTTGAACGGCGTTTGGCTATTCTGAAGCCCATCGGTGTCCGATACCGATGAACTGGCGCTTTGACATGGCGTACTAGCGTTTCGAGCGCGAGGAGCGATACATCGCTCGACTTCGGCAACTCCATCATGCCGAAGTCCTCCGCCGTCATGCGGAAGTGGATTCAGGGCTACTTGTGCATGAGCACCCCCTGGTCTTGCCAAGTCGGAACGAGACTCCGTAGGCGAAGAACGTCACAGTGGTTGACCGGCAAATGGACATGCCGCTCACCGACCGGACGTTCGAGCGCAAGATGCGCCACAAGCACTCCCTGCTTGTCCCGACACATTGTAGGGAGGTTACTGCTTTGAACCGTAATTGTCTTGGAAGCAAGTATGTCAACCCTTCACACTGGTGGGCTGACGTCGAGGTCTCTTACGGGGATAGGACCGAAATGCCTCGGGCTGTGAAGTATCTGGGAAGCCGCCTGATGGCGGATCCCCTGGCTCTCGAGTGGAAACTTGTTCGCACCGAGTGGGCGGCCCTCATGGCTGCCAACGTGTTGTATCAAGCGCGTGCCGGGTATATTCTCCAGATCTCTCCCATGCTACAGGAGAATATTCGTCTCTTGGGTGTTGGAAATATAATTCCCCACGCGCCGGACGACGCCGCGGACCTCGCTGCGGTTCTGCACGAGGTATGCGTAATTCGCTGGAATCGCTTCGCTGCTGAGAACCGGCAGCTCCCTCAGGAAACAGGGAGGTTCACCCCTGGGTCTGAGGGCGGGAAATGGGTTGAGTTCGACCCCATGAGGTGGTGTACGAATCTCGATGATGACATGTATATCGAGATGGCGGACGATGATCGTCCCCTCGAGTCACTCGTAATGGGGACTCGCGTCTATGGGACGACGAATCATTTAGCTCAAATGAACTTGCCGCACGGACAACCGCGGGGAATCCGAGCCGTCTACGGCTCGGATTACTCCGCTCCTCGTCTTGGGAGGAGGAGTGGCGCGGTGTTGGGGAGCTTGACGTCCCAACGCCGCGGGGTTGCGAACGACGTTCTCGCCGCTCTCGTCTTGGAACGAGAAGGCTTGACAGCACTGCTCCGTGACAACGGGGTTCGCGGCAGGCCGACGATTATTGCTGTCCTCGATTTACTCCAGGGTCGATTGGAGAGCCCGCCGTCGCCCGTTCAAAGCGATGCGGGGCCAGCCGAAGCGGCTACCGACGGCTCCATAATGCGCGCTGAGTGAGCGCTGCAAGGATCGTTCATCTCGAGGTTCGTAGGGTAGTAGACGATCGTCAATAAAGGAACCTCAAGATTAATTCGTCGCCATATTTCCCTCGGTCGGAAATGCAGTGGACCTTCCCCCTTCCAAGATTGGCGTGCGTGCTGCCCTTCACTGAGGAGCGGGTTCCTCGGACACCGGTAAGGGGTCAAGTCCCTTGCGACGTCGAAAGCGGTTTATCACACCAATTGGTAGGTGTGATGGTGGTTTCCACGTGGCCGCCTCGGGAGGGTACCCCTCCCATCGAACGAGATACTTGTCCTGTTTGTCGTCATGCTCATGGAGTTTGTCGATGACGTACTCGTCATCGGAGGTGTCGGCCTTCTTGCCGCCGACCTCCGTTTGTGGGGTCGACGGTCTCTGACTCGGGTCATCATTCAGCCGAGCCTGCGCGGTTGGTATCGGTGCGTCTTCGGCTGTAGTCGCGTTCCGATAAGCCTGCTTCTCGCGGGAGCTCGCATTCCCGACAGCGCGGAGCACACGTGTGCTTCCGGGTGGATCTCTGCTTTGACCATCGACGTCAGCATTGTCGTCATCATCGGTCGTGACCATGTCCTCGTCTGTCGGGCGAGGGACAAGAGCCGGGTCTTGTTGATCGGGATCCCTGTCCGGCATTGGAGCCGGTACAATGCGATCATACGACACTGTGTCTCGGTCGCCAACTCGTAAGATGACGACAGTGCGATCGTTTGGCTTTACTGCCAACACTTCGAATGGTCCAATGGCCTTGGGGCGAAGTTTGTGGTCGTTCTCCCCCGGCCGGGGAGCTTCGCGTCTGAAACAGACGCCACCACCTGCCTTGAGGTGATAATTGACTGGCCTTACATGACGGTCAAAGTTCGCCTTGTAGCGGGCTTGCGCTTTCCGTAGGCGCTCACTTGCCGTGGTCATCAGTGCCCGTAACCTCGTCGTAAAGCGAAGACGAGCTTGCCATGGTGGTAAGCTTCCGTGGTCCACGGACTCGACATTTTCAATGCAGAAGCTTGGCGGAGGTCGACTCAATACGAGATCATAGGGATTCATCCCTATCGCACGGTGCACGGTACAGTTGTAACCAAATGTCACATCTGACGAGAACGTGTCCTAATCCTTTCCCTCCTCCGTGCAAAGCGACCGGAGGGCAGAAAGGATTGTGCGATTAAATCGCTCCACCTGACCATTGGTTTGGGAGTGGTATGCCGAGGTGTAAGCATTACGAACGCCCATTATCGAGCATACGTTTTGGAAGAATTTTCCAGGGAACTGGCCCCCTCAATGTGATAGGAGGTAAGCAGGATTCCGTGTGGGAAGACCCATTTCTCGCAAAAGGCACGCGCCACCGTGAGGCCTGTCACGTTTGCGAGGGGCGCGGTCTGCGTCATCTTACTGTAGCGGTCAGACAAGACCAGCAAGTACCGATTTCCTCGGCTGGTTCTCGGCAATGGGCCGAGAATGTCGATGGCGACGTACTCCAACGGTATCGTTGCCGGGAAGAGTTTCATGAACGACGCATGGAGTCGCAACTTCACGCGTCCTTCGCGCACGGGGCACAATGCCTAACACAGTTGTAGACATCGACGCTCATCGACGGCCAATAAAAGGTCCGTTGAGGCGCACTATACATACGCGAACCTCCCGGGTGACCTGCCGTTCGGGAGTAATGTGCCAAATGAAGCACTTTATCATGCAGGCTCTCGGGCAGGTACATCTGCCGTGTGTGGTCGCGTGATGAGACGCGGACGAGGACTCCTATATCATTGAACTCGTAGGGTGTTTGTGGTCCGTGGTCGAGCCGTGCTCGAATGCGTTGGCAAAAAGCGTCGTCCGCCTGTGCCCGGACGAGTTCCTCATAGGAGAGCGGGGATAGAGGGTCGGTACGTTCAACGGCGAGCACCTCCCCCCGGTTGACGAGTCTCTCGTTGAACAGGTCCTCGTCATCGACAATGTTCTCGTCGATGTGACAGCGTGGGTCGCTACCCGACCATGGGTCTACAGTTACCCGGTCGTCTTCGGATTTCACACAAAATCAGGGAATCTCCTCGTCCGTCGGGCCTTGCGTTTCGCCCGTAGTCTCCACACGGGACACAGCGTCCGCAACCGTGTTCTTCGCTCCCTTTTTGTACTCGAAGGAAAAAGTCGAATTCGGAGAGGCAAAGTCTCCACCTGGCCAATCGGCCAGTTGTGTCGGACGCCCCAAGAAGCCACTTGAGAGCTTGGTGGTCGGTGTACACTTGGAAATGAACGCACTGTACTGCTTTTCATCGAAGGAAGGCAGGTCGAACCCCTGTCTTTTGCATAGAAGCGCGTTTAGCGGCGCCGCAATTCGTGCGAAGTTTGGCACGAAACGTCGGTACACGTTACACAGCCCCAAGAAAGACCGGAGCTGTGTCTGGTTGCGTGGGTCTTTGAATCCAGCGATGGCCTCGGTGTTCTTAGTCGCCACATGCAACTTACCTGGACGAATATTATGTCCCAGGTAGTCCACCGTTTGGAGGAAGAAATTACATTTCTTAAGTTTCAGGGATAACCCCGCGTCCCGCAAAACGGTTAGTACCTCCTTCACGTGTTGGAGGTGCTCCTCCAGGGAACTAGAGTAGACTATCACATCGTCTAGATATACCAGGCAGCTACGCTACCTGTACCCTGTGAGGAGGATATCCAGAGTTCGTTGGAACGTGGCAGGGGCGTTGCAAAGCCCGAAAGGCATCCGGCAAAACTGGTAACAACCAGCATGACACGTGAATTCCGTTTTATGCCGATCTTGGTCGGCTACTCGTATCTGCCAGTATCCACTGTTGCAATCCAACGTAGTGAAGAACTTGGTTTCGCCAAATGAGTCGAGACACTCGTCCATTCGTGGTAACAGATATGTGTCTTTTACCGTCAGGGCGTTGAGACTACGATAATCGGCACAAAATCGGAGGGAACCGTCCGATATCGGTACCAGTACTACCGGGCTCGCCCACTCTGAGCATACTGGTTCCATGACCCCTGCCTTCAGCATCTTGTCCACTTCGGACTGCTGAATTTCGCGCGACTTCGGGCCTGCGCGATACGGTTGACAATGTACCGGTCGCGTGCCTACTTGAAGGTCGATACGATGCTTTGTCACCGTAACTGTCCCGAGCTCTCCGTTCCATATGGGTGAGAACGGCTTGAGCATCTGTTGGAAATTCTTCTGCATGGCAGAAGACAAGTGACCAAAGTCTACTTCATCCTCAGAAGGTGGAAGTTCGGCTTGCTTGGTGCCTTGATGCACGTCGCGGGGTGAATCTGCGAAAGACAGCGCAGCCCCCAGCCCCGCCTCCTCTTCGTTTCGAGGGGGGTTTTCGGAGTTGTTCTCGTTCGGGCCGGACAGCTCGACCGCGTAGACTGTCGTGGGTAACGGCATAGGCGTACCCAAGATCTGGTTCTTGACCAGAGTTTGCGGGGTTGTCGCGAAGTTTGCCACCCGTATGACAAACGGTCGCTTAGCGTGGACATCGCAGATGCCATTGCTAAGGGCTACTAGCTGTTTCTTGTACAGCTGATTGCGGCACTCGGGGATATGAGTGCCCGATACGTTGGTCACTGCGGATTGGGGAGGAAGCACAATGCGCTGTGCTACGCGTATCACGTTGTCCTGTGATGGTGGTGGAGGTACCGCGAGGGGCTCGTTCGTCCGAACCATTGTGGAGCGAACAAAGGCAGCTCGACGCTTGATGGCCAGCTCCGTGCCGTCGTCGAGCACGACGACACGCCTTCTGATCCAGATGGACTCGGTGTGCGTGTCAATGAACGTACATCCGAGAATCGCGCCCACTCCCAGATGGCGGCAAACCACGAAGGGTTGAAGGGTCGTGAACGATCCAATCCGGATCGTAAGGGAAACAATCCCCAGAGTCGTTAGGCGATGCTTCGAGGCATTCGCTAAGTTAACGACTTGTCGATTACGGTCAAGCTCCGCAATCGTGCTGGCAGGCAGCATGTCGGCACAGATGAGGTTTGGTCCTGCACCCGTGTCGAAGACGGTTAGCATCGCGACACAGTGGGACTGTGTGGAGCCTATGGAGGCCTCGACCTTGTAGTTGTACTTCGACAGTACGCATACGGGGTCGGCGAGGTACGTTTCCACGGTCGTCCGTGGAGGTAGCCCATAAGGCCTGGTTTTGATGGATCTTACCGGGGGCGATGATTGCGGCTCCGGTTTACAGGGGCGATCTGGCGGCTCAGCAGGGGGACGGTTCTGAATCAGATCGCCACGGGTCAGTTTAACGACGCAGTGCTGTCGTCAACCCCTACGTTGGGGGGATTCACCTTCGAAAGATGAATTTCCGAGGTGGCGGGTGTGGGTCCACCTGCGAAGGTAACGCCCTCCTCCGGCGTGCACTGTGCCTTCTCTTCCGCCATAGTCGCGGTCTTTCTCTGCAGGGCAAAGAGAGGCGGCGACCAACGCGTCGAAGGAACTCGGGCTGGGTCGGGTTGAGCTTTGCGAAATTGGCCTCCACCAAGTGGTAGAAATTCCGGTCGGAAGCGGGAGAGACTTCTCTCGCTAAGTGGCGACAGTTGGGGTTCTTATGCCCCAGGGCATAACACTCGTAGCATGTCCGAGGGGCGGTCAGGGGATACTTGCCATCCCGGCTGTTGATTCAACGGCGGCTTAGCGAACGAAGCGAGACGCGGGTTATCCATCCAGACAATCGCGTTAACCTCCTCAGGAACCATGAGGTGTGTCCCGGAAGGGACAATTGTTGACGACGAAGCATGTACGACGTCGTTTTGCAGCAGCTCCGCGGAGAGCGCAGATCCTGTCGGGGTTTGCAACGGGGGGCTCGGGTATCCCTGGTGCCCTTCCACATTGAGTATGTGGTTGACGTCGTCGCGTCCCCGGCCGCGACTGGGCAGCCGGTCGATGCGGTCACGCTTCGTCCTACCGTCCAGAAGGGCGCGGTGGGAGTCGCCCACTGCGGCTGCTTGCTTGACGCAATCGAGAAAGGTTCGCGGAT